TCTCAGAATTGGGGGCTGAGGAGCCTTTCTTGTTGCTGCCTCTTCCCATATTCTCTGTTCCTTATATATGCAAGCTTACATGAGAGGCCCAGCTTCTCTCCCTGTCAGCCACAGCCTGATCGAATTGTGCCGGTTAGGTGTTCCCACTCACCGCTGCGCACCAGGCAGCCTACGCGGGGGCCCGCCGCTCCCGGCCTCCGTCAGGCTCTGGGATCTGGTTTGGGCCAGCCTACGGGGTCCGCCGGCAGCGTCACACAGGCCAGGCACTTTTCACCAATCCCGCCTGAGAGGGGAATGTGTGGCTGGAGTCGCCACCACGCCCTGCTCCCGCAGGACTGCTCGGGCCCAGAAAGTCCACTGGAGTCAAACTGTGGTGGAGTGTCAGTTTCTCTCACTCACCTTGCCACAAGTCAGAACATGACTCCCTGCCCGTCCTGTTTTCGACTCAGTTCGCAGACTCCCGTTCTCAGAGTTTCCGCGCGTCTCTCTCCTTGCTGAGCCGATGTAGAGGCAGCCAGCCACTGCGCGGCGGGAAACCCAAATCGCGGCTTCCAATGGCGCAGGGTCCAGCCTCAGCAGCGAGACTTTTCTGTTCCTGTTTTAGCACCAGGACTGCATTCCAAGTTGGTTTCTCTCAGCTGAGTTCGTTCCTGAGTCAGCAGAGCATAACTCCACCTGCGTATGTCTCTTTAGTCCGCACCATATCTGGCTTCTGAGCCTAGTTTTTCAGAGAGCCTCCGTAGTTGCTGTTATCTGTCCACCATGTTCTCCCGGAAGTCTAGAGTAGCTCTTCTTGAGCTCCAGCTGCATGCACAGGCGAGGCCACAGCTGGGCTGCTTGTCTGGAGGGAGCAGGAGTGGGGCAGGGTCTCACCTGTCTCCTTTTCTCCCACCTGGACTTTACTATGCGAGCCAGCAGGTCTACCTGAGATCCCTGGGCTGAGAGGACAGATGGCCGCCTCTCCTGACCTCGGGCCCCTACCTGGGCCCTCCCAGGAGACTCGCTGTCCCCCCACCACCACCTTTTCAGTGCTCGGCCCAGGATACCCCCACCCACCCAGTCCTTGATTATTCCTTCTGCCCTGCTGCTCCCTGCCCACCTCTAGTTCATCTCTGCTCCTCCACTCTCTGACAAGAGTTTTGTCTTTTTCTTGGTACTGGGGATGGAACCCAGGCCTCACAGTGAGTTCTAACTCAGCCCTCTTCTGTTTTCTTATTTCAAGACAGCATCTCACCAAGTCTCTGAATTGCACAGGCTGGGCTAGAACTTGTGAGACTTCTGCCTCAGCCTCCTGGAATCCTGGGATTACAGGTGTGTACCACTGTGCCCAGCTGTCCTTTGTTTTTTAAAAATACTTTTTTCTTATATTGTGTTTTCTCCTTCTCCTTCTTCTCCCCACCTCTTTCTCTCTCTCTCTTCTTTCTTTCTTTCTTTCTTTCTTTCTTTCTTTCTTTCTTTCTTTCCTTCTTTCTTTCTTTCTTTCTTTCTTTCTTTCTTTCTTTCTTTCTTTCTTTCTCAGACAGGCTCTTGCTATGTTGCCCGGGCCACTCTCAAACTCCTGGACTCAAGCCACCCTCCTGCCTCAGCCCCCTGACTTGCTGGAAACTAAGTAAGTGTACCCTGTCCAGCCCCTTATATGTCTTGAGAGAGCAGCAGCCCACACTCTTGGTCTCTACTTTCTTGCATCCAGTTACTCTACCCAGTTCACTGGGGTGTGTGTTTGCAGCTGGGGAACTGCTGTCGCCTGGCCCTAGGGCCTCTCCATGCATCAGACAAGGTCGATGCCTCTCTCCTGGTGACAGGTTCCCCTGCCTCCCCTCTGACCACTGCTGTGGCCCTTTTGTCCTCCACCTGCCCCCCAGCTGATTCCCTTACCTACCAGACTCCTAGGCACAAGGCCCCGGTAAGCTCCCCACTCCAGGCCTCTCCTGGAGATGTGTGTTGATTTTGTGACAAGTCCTGCAGCTGACTCTGAAATGAGGTTTCTGTTCCTGGGGTTGGTCCTGTTGGAGCTGGTGGCTGATGGCGACCTTTCCCTGGAAGCTCCAGGGCTCATCCTCCAGGCATCCACTACTCAGCATCTTCATAAATGACGGCCTCTTCCCCTCCTCCTCCCCCCTTCCCATCCCATGTCCCCCCAGCCCGACTCCTCTGTGCTGTTCTCAGTGGGTCCTGTCACCCTCAATCACTGGCCACTTAGCCAGCAGCTATTAGAGCCTCCTGGTATTCCCCCCCCCCTCACTCCCAATTATTACCAAACATAACTTACTTGACCTTGAAGTCCGATGTTTCTAATTTTAGTTTTGTATCATTAAAACATTTGGCAGTTTATGAAGGCTTTGCACTGCTCCTCAGAATAATGCTTTTTAGTGCAGAAAACAAAACAAAGGATTACAAAGGATATATACTTTTTGAAATACAGTTTTCAAAATTATAAAAATTTTGCTATGATATACATATGATACTGTGCTAACATAGCACGAAGCATAGTATTTACACCCAGTGTCTGCTCTGATTACCAGTGTTTTAAAGTGGTGAGACAAAAGCTATCTGGGAATATCTGCAGAAATGGAAACGCGTGAAAATATAATCTGAAGAATCTATAATCGCCACTGATGATAAAAGTCATGGGTACTGCTAATTTTATATATCGATTTTTAGATTTACAATGGGAGACTGATCCGGGTGTGGTGCTTTGTGCTTGTAGTCACAGCACTCTGGGAGGCTGAGGCAGGAGTATTGCATGTCCAAGATCTTGTCTCAAAATAAAAAAACAAAAAAAAAAAAAACCCTTTTGTTTTAAAGGGCTGCGGATATAGCTTAGCGTGAAGGATTTGGGTTCAATCCAGAGAAAGAAGGAGAGAAGGAGAGAGGGAGAGAGAGAGAGAATAAGCTTTAGAAGAAGAAAAGTGAAAATACAACATTTTCCACCTTTACTGACTGCCGGGTTCTACCCGGTGAAAGCACCTGCTGTGAAACAGTGCCGGCCCTGTGCCCTCCTGTCCACCGGTCACCTCACCAGGCTCCTACCTCCACCTGCCATCCCGGGCGCCCAAGTGAGCCCTCCTGTCTTCTCTGCCGGCTGCAGTTCCCGGGTTCTCCTGTCCTGAGCACAGCCACCTCCCAGTCTCCCTAGTGAGGCACCATGTGTGTGGCCTCATGGCCTACACCCATCACTCTGGGGATCCAGCCTGGCCCAGAACATTGCCACCATAGTCAGAGCTGCTGTTTTGCTGGTAAGGGACCCTGGCATGCATCCATCCTGGCAGGACAAACATGTCATCAAGAGAAGCGAGCGTGTAGCCACTGCCCAGTAGGTCAGACGTGGTCCTTTTGATCCTGGCCTGAGTTGCGCTCATGTAGCTTGGGAACCCCTTCCTCCCCCTTGGGGGCAGCCATCTCCCTGTCTTGCTGCTGTCTGAGAGGCTTCGTTTCTGTCCCCAGGAAAAGGGACTCATCTGTCTGCGCCTCCTGCAGTCCGGGCTCCTTGTCATGGTGAGCAAGGGACTGCCCCCTCCACCCCCCAGAGCTCAGCTTCACCCCCTCCGCCACAGAGTCAGTCTGTGAGAAGGAAGTGACGGGCTGGGTGTGAAATGTTCAGGGCACAGCCCGGTGGATAGGATAGAAAAGCTATTTCCCGGGGGATCTTGTCCTTCTCCAGGTCCCTGAAGCCTGCTTGGCTACCTTGTCTTTGAAGATGCAGGCAGCTCCTCTTCCAGAACTTTCTCTGACTGGGCTCCCTCACCCCTCGCCTGCCCATTCCCCTTACAGCCCTCACCTGTGTCCTGCACAGAAACGTGTGGTTCCTCCAGGCAGGGCCTGCGGTGGCCCCTTTCTCTAGAGCCCACCGTGGCTGGTATCAGCCTCTCCAGGGCCACCCATCCAGGCTCCCTGCAGCCCGATGTGCTTGTGGTATGACTTAGAATCCACTCTCCCTCTCCTCCTCAGAGCTCTACAGGCTGGGAGTCCAGGCTCCATGCTCCAGCGGACAGCGTCACTAGGGATCTTTCCTCATAGATGGCACCTGCTCTCCAGGGTCTCTTATGAGGGCGCTAACCCATTCCTGAGGGGGCACATCACCTCCCAGAAGCCCACTTCCTAACACATCACCCAGGGGGTGGAAAGTCAACACAATGGGGACTGGGGGGCAGGGAGCACCCATACTCAGGCTCTATAGAGAGGCTGTGTAGAACTACATGGATCAAAGGACAGAAGTGTTCAGAAAAATAAAGAGCTGCCAGCTCTCTCCCACTGGCCTGGCAATCAGCTTTTAAAAGTATTGCATAATTCATGGACCTATGCATCTCGTTTTCCTGTTTGTATTGAGTCTTTTCCTGGGCAACTCTTGGGTCTGAAAACATCATGGTCTGAAACAGAAAAGGTGTGTGCGTGTCTGTATGTGTTCGTGTATGTGTGAAACACCCATCCAGCAGCACCGTGGCCACTTCAGACTCTTAGCTATGGGTACTGCAATGTTAGGAGCAAGAATTTAAGCATATTTAGAAGAACAGAGGCGTCATCAACTGAGGAATGGATAAAAAATGATGCAGTATTTTTATGCAAGGGAGTACTACTCAGCTATAAAGAAGGATCATATTGAGGCTTTTATAGGTAAATGAATGAGACCTGAGACCATACTCATAAGTGAAATAAATCAGATTCATAGATGTAAATGCCATATTGTCTTCCTAGTGTAAGAAACTGAAAGAATAAATAAGATCCAAAGTCTATAATAGATATTGTGAAAGGATAAAAAACTGCTCAAAGGGGAAAAATTATTGGGATAGGGAAAAGGAGAAAAGAAGGAAGGGAAAAGGAAGAAGATATAAATTTGTTTATATACACAAAAAATAGCTAAAATGATTATACTACTAATTCCATTAGTTCTTAAAAAAGAACAGTTAACACTCTGATGAATTTTGCATGTCTGTGTGGCTGCCTCTGGTAATCTAAGCAACTCTTTTGAAGTAACAATATGCAACATTACAACCATGGTTAAATTCCTGTCATCTTGCTTTGAAAGCTTTTATTGTTATTGTTTTGGGTTTTTTGTTGTTCTTCTAGTTGTTATTTGTATGTCTCTTGTTTTTGGTTTTCTTTCCTGTGGGTTTTTTTTTTCTCTTTAAAATAAAAAAAATACAATTTCATGACAAAAAAAAAAAAAAAAAAAAAAGAACAGAGGCACCAACCCACCCGCTGTGTCCAGTCCTGGACGAGGCCTGTCCAGTACAGCCACGGCTCTGATTGGCTGGCCTCTTTCATCTCCCTTTTAGATTTCAAAAGATTTTTAAAAGTCCATTTCTTGATTACAGCTGAAGCCACATAAAAGCAGAATAAAAAAGTGACTCTGCTCCTCTTCCCAGCCTGCTCTCCACAGGTCACCTCTGTTTCAGAGCGGATTTAAAGATCCACTGAGGAGGTTTGAATTACACACCCAGGAAGGACCTCACTGTGCTGGAAAGTCAGAAAAGTAGAATTACGCCTCGATTTGTCCACAGCAGTGACGGTGAACCTCCAGTGACGATACAGCTGCGGCAGCCCTGCCAGGGGTCACCATGACTGCCAGGGGTGCAGCTGGAGGGATTGTGCATTTCCTTTACAGGGGGAGAGAGAGCGTTTGAAGTAGACACGTTAGCAGCCCCCTTTGTCACAGAGGGCGCTGAGTATGATTCTGGGCTGGGTGTTCTCCCTGGTCCTCTCCACAGACCAGTGCCGGGTAGAATGCCCACATCAAGCCCAGCCACCGAGGGCTTGGTGTGGAACGGTGCTCAGTGCTAGGAGCTCTGGGGTCTGGGGGCGGGGCCCAGATTGGTTTCAAAATGCCGGAGCCAAACCAGACATGGTCCCACACCCCTGAGATCCCAGCATTCTGGGAAGCTGAGTCAGGAAGATCAAAACTTTGAGCCAGGCCCCAGTAATTTAGAAATTTAGTGAGACCAGGCCTCAAACTAAGCAATTTAAAAGGGGCGGGGGGGGGGGATGTGTGAAGGGGCTGGGTTAAATCCACTTTGGGGCGGGGGTGAGGGGAAGCTGGGGGTAAAAGGCAGGTGGACAGGTTCTGGGTCTCTGCCCTCCTGGTCCCATTCCTATGCAGTCTTCAGTCAAAATAGCTTTCTTTTTTCTAAAACCTCTGTGCTATGTTTTGCATAATGTTTTACTTTTTAGAAATTGCACTGCTAAAACTTTATACTACTACCTATCTTACAAAAAGACAAGGAAGAGCAAAGGCATACCTGTAATCCCAAGGCACTTGGGGAGGCTGAGGCAGGATGATGTTAATTTCAAACCCTGTCTGCAAATAAAATAAATAAATAAAGAGGGCTGGAGACGCCACTCAGGGTGAAGGTCCTCGGGTCAATCCCGTCGCAGGCCTGGGCTGGCAGTCCTTGGTAGGATGCTTAGGACAGACAAGGCTGAGCAACTACAGGGCCGGTGGGCCTCGCTCAGCAGCCAGCAAAGAGCTGAGGGACCCAGGTGGCCATCTCCTTCTCTCAGACTAGGTCACCACTCCCCAGCTTGTCCAGGCCAACAAAGGCGCACGAGGGGAGCACCTATAAGTGGGGGCTTAGGGTGGCAGCAGCAACAGCTGTGGGAGGGGAAAGTCCAGAGCCGCAGAACTGCCTGGAGCCTAAAAATAAACAGCCTGACAGCCGCATTAAGGTCTTCTTTGGGGCGGGGAGCCAGGGGAAGGCATCCCAGCTGCTGTGGGCAGAGGAGGGGGTGGCTCCTCACCTCCCCGGGACCCCCTCCGGCTGCCTTTGTTTTTTTTTTTTTTTTTTTTTTTAATTTAAGAGGAAAAAGAGAAAAACACAAAACAAACCAAAGCGGCGTAAGGGTACACGCAATACAGAACTACAAAACAAAACAAAACAAAACGAAACAAAAAACCATAACAGTAAGAAATTACCTGCTAGTAGATTACACACTATTTTCTTGAAAATAGTTCCTCAAATTACAGTATCAAAGAACACAAGGTGGACATTCAAACAGGGAGACTGCAAACAGCTGTGTTCAATGTTCCAAAAACATTGATAAAGTCAGCTATTTAACACCCCCAAACACACTTGCTGTTATATCCAGAGCTCTTTTTCTTTTTTTTTTTTTTTCCCTCTCTTTTTTTACCACAAAATTTACACATCTTGGATTTTATTACTCCTTAGTGCTTATTACTTTCTTTGGGGGGGGGGGAAGAATGCAGTCAAATATGGCAAAACAAAGCTATCAGTCAATACCAAGGATAGACATAGCACATGGTGTAGAACAGAGTACAAGTTTATCAACAATGGTTATCAACGTTGTCCCTTGTTTCCTTAAAAAGAATTGTCTATCTTATTAGATATTATAAAGTTGGACAAAACAGTAGAGAACAAGACCAATAAAACTTAGGCATTGTAAACATTACAGGACTTCCAAAGAAGACAATAGTCAAACCAGAATGGGTATCTTAGTGAATCTTACTGTCTTCAAAGTAGTTGCCTATATCTTCAAACTTGATACTATCATATAGAATGGAACAGAGTCTAATCAGTCAAAACAAGATCGTGGGAGTACTACAGGACTTCAAAACAAGTTAATAGGAAATCGAAAAGAGTTACTATTTATATATCCTAATTTTTTTTGAATTTTTTCTTTAATTAAGACCAACATAAGAAATGACTAAATAAATTTTTTTTTGAAACAATAAGGGGGAGATTGAGATAAAACAGGACATAACAATATAACAATAGAGGTCACAGCATGACTGTTTCAATAACCTAGTACTTCACCACTATATAACCTGACTTAATAGTAGTTACCATAGTGTCTTTTTCCTTGAAATATTTGGATAAAACTTCATATACTCTAGCTTCAAATATTTTCATATCAAGAAGCCCAGAATAAAGCCTTTCTAATTAATGAGTGAAAACTTTATAAGGCTTCAAGGCCACCTAATGGGGAATCATGATTACCACATATTTTTATATATTTGAATCATTACTTACATTAGGGAAACTATTCGGTATTCACACATGCGAGATTGATTTATTTCACTTATGAGTATGGTCTCAAGCTGCGCCCATTTATTGATAAATATCTCAATGTGATCCTTCTTTATAGCTGAATAATACTCCATTATATAGAAATACCACAACTTTTTTATCCATTCCTCAGTTGATGGGCACTTGGGTTGTTTCCAAGATCTGGCGATTACAAATTGTGCTGCTATAAACATAGGTGCACATATATCACTGTGGCATAGTGAAAAGAAAACCCACAAACTGGGAAAAGATTTTAGTGAACTCTCTCTCAGACAAGGGCCTCTTGTCTAAAACATATAAAGAATTAAAGAAACTCAGACCTCCGAAATTCAAAGATCCAATCCAAAAATGGGCATCTGAGATGAATATGCAATTCTCAGATGAAGAAATGCAAATGGCAAATAAATACATGAAAAAATGCTCATCATCATTGGTCATTAGAGAAATGCAAATTAAAACCACACTGAGATACCATCTCACTCCTGAAAGAATGGCCAAGATCAAGAAAACCGACAACAAATGCTGGAGAGGCTGTGGGGAAAAAGGAACTCTCCTGCACTGCTGGTGGGAGTGTAGACTGGTACAGCCTTTGTGGAGATCTGTCTGGAGATTTCTCAAAAAGTTGGGACTGGAAATCCCATTTATTCCAGCTATTCCACTTCTAGGCATATTCCCAGAAGAACTGAAAGCATCATACCTCCGGCTGCCTTTGGGGTGCAGCAGCCCGGATTCGCCGTGGGACCTTTGTTACCCTCAACATCTCCCACCTTGTCCCTCAGAGGTGTGGATCGGCTGTGCCCGGCCAGGAAAGCAGGCTTCAGGCAGGCAGGGCTGAAACGAACCGTCTTTGTAAAGCAGTGGGGTGCCCTTGTGTTCTCCGAAGCCGCCCTGTCTTGTTGGACCACCCGTCCCGAGTGGATTCGCCTGGGAAGTGGCCACACTGACCTCGTGCAGGCACGGAGCTCGTGTCCTGTGCCCGGGGCTCAGAACCTCCCGGCTCCGCCCCGGGCCTGCGCTGGGACCCCTGGGGAAGAAGTTTCTGAGCTTTAAAACCGTCAGACTCCCCCGAGGATTGCAAGAGAAAACGGCCTGTGCAGAAAGCAACAGCATGGGGGAACCCAGGTAACTAAACACGGTTAAGGGGAGCAGAAATCGTCAGCTGGCAGAGTGACTTCTTCCGATATTTACCCTTGAAGGGTTGAAAACGATTTTCAAGAGGTGCAGATTTTAGCAGCTCTCAGGCCTCTCAATTTCTAGACCAAAACAGGATAGCTCCCCGGTGGCCACCATTGTCTGCGTTCCTTGCTGGCTCACTGCTGCCCTCCAGTGTTCGATTTAAACACACAGGACTTAATTCTAGGCTGGGCGCAAAGCCCCCTTTCCCTTTAACTACAGTATCTGGTACAGAGTTAAACACGGTGTGAGTTTATTAACGAGAGCTGTATAATCCAGGCGAATTTTCAACAAGACTTTCACTTTAAAATTCCTCATTCTATTTCTTTTTTGGGGTCTAGATTCATGTGCATGTGCTGAAGGGGTAAATTTAATCCTTAAGGGGCATGGCTGTGATTACATCAGGAGGGTAAATCCTAACGGTAGCTGCTTCCTGAGAAACCGCGTGGCTTATTCACGAAAACGTCTTAGATTTCAAATCATGGCACCGATAAAAGCCCCAAATGTGGGATGACTGAAAGTTTGCACAAATGTGAGATAATTTTTGATGCATGGCTCAAAAAATATTCCTCGAAACGCAAGCTCCTTGGCTCATCTGGCCTTCATCTTTGCCCCACAGACTGGATCCATGTGTTTGTGGACGCTGGCTTTCTCGGTGCTTCCTGTTTAGCATCACTTTTGGTTTCTGTTTCTCACTCACCCATTTAGTTATGTATTGCTTCTGGGTCCTGGCTGGAATACAGACAGTGCCCCCCCCCCCCCCCCCGCATCCTGAATAGATCAAGACGCCTGCTCTTAATTATGCAGAGAGGGCGCAGGAGTCCACATAAGCCAGGCAGAGGAAGGGGCTGCTTCACCCCAATATGCATCATCCTAAACCCTTTTTAGCCTGCAGTGGCACCTCCCATAGCCCAAGGCTGAAGCCTAAGAGCTGCTCTGTACATTTTATTATTGATCCCTCACTGTTAGATCTAGGCTAGCAGAGAAGGCTCAGGTTTTTGCCTCCTATTAAAGTAACCAAAGAAGTCTGGTTATAGTCAGCACCTCCCGGGGCTCTGGGGAAGTTGGTCAAGACCAGCTCTATCGTGCTGGAAGGAACGGTGGGGTGGTGGGGCATAAACTGAGGGGTAAGTCAGTGTTCCTGGGGTCTACAGACTGCTGGGATGGAAGCCTGTCCCTGTATCGGGGGTGACAGTCCAGGCTCTGCAGGGCTGTAGCCGGTTACCAGGACAAGCTGGGTTTCTTCCCAAGAGGAGCTGTGGGTAAATACGAGATGGGAAGGCAGGGCTGGAGAAAGTGTCCTAAGGTGGCACCTACGTTTGAATTGTGATTATTTAGCTGTGTCTAATTGAGGTGACTGTGGGGGTCGTGGATGGAGCTGTCCAGTGAAAGCGCCATTAAAGAGAATTCAATAGGCTAGTAAATCTTTTGGTTGTTTAAACAGGCTTCTTCTCAGGATAGCAGCCTGGGGTGGAGTCCAGGAGGAAGCCTCTTCGGTGGAACCGGCACCCGCTGTTAACCGGTTTAGCGGTCTGCGAGTGGGAGCTGGCGCCCCCAAGTGTTCAGGGGTGGCAGCTGCGCCCGGAAGGGCAGTTGCTTGAAGCCTTGTCGGAGGGAAGCGAGCTGCAGCCCCGAGCCCAAGCCGGCTTTGAGCCTTGTGCCTCTGCCTTTGCTGCTGATCTCTGCTGGGCTAGGCCTCCTCGCTGTCACCCAGAGGGACCCTACAGCCTAGACTGCGGCTGTGTCTGCAGAGGCGTGGAGGAGGGGTCAGTGATCCGAGGAGAGGAGCACTGAATAAAAATAACTCGCCAGTTAGAGGGGAGACTTGACTCAAAGGTCGGGGATGTGTATAGTTCTATGAAAAGAAACAAGTAATTAGGACTAAATCCAGCTACAGGTAACTAAGGTAACCAAAAGAATAGTGTCTTAAAGAAAAATCTCTTTGGCTGTCTCTGGTCTCCCTCTGCCTCTTTCTCTCTCTGTCTCTTTGTCTATCTGTCTGTCTGTCTTTCTCTCTCACAGTCTTGTTATACTATCCAGGCTGACCTTAAACCTATGGTGATCCTCCTGCCTCAGCCTCCCAAGTACTGGGATTATAGGCATGCACCACCACACATAGCTTTTTTTTTTTTTTTAAATATTAAGAAGTTTGACAGGCAGTCAGCACTGATCTGCCCTGCTGCAGGGCCAGGGACACAGTTCTGCTGTTTTATTGTTTGGTGGATCTTTCTGTAGCATCCATTGTCAAAGACATCTCTTGATTCAAGACAGCTGGTGGAGAAGTAGCCTTTCCATGTGCCTTCTGGACAGCAGGAAGAGGGAACGGAAATTCCTTCAGCTACTTCTGAGAAGTCACCTCTGTCACTTCTCTTAGTCTTATGGTCACAACCCTTTTGTAAGGGAAAGCTAAAGTGACCGGCTCAGTATGGTGGCACATGCTTGTAATCCCAGCACTCTGGGAGGCTGAAGCAGAAAAGATCACAATTTGGTCTCAGCCTAGGCAATTTAGCAAAGCCCTGTCTCAAAATTAAAAAGGAATTGGGGATGTAGATCAGTGCAAAGGTCCTGAGTTCAATTGCTAGTACTACAAACAATAGTACTGATACAATAGTTTTTCTATTATCTGAATTTCCTATGTATTTGTTTGACAGGGTTTTGGTTTTGTTTGTTTGTTTTGGCTAACCTCTCTAAAATGTTAGTTGTGTTTGTGGACCTCATATCCCCAGGACTCAGAATAGTAATCAGCACCTGTGCTAAATATATGTTTGTAGACTAAATGAGCCTTGTATGCACCCCCTAACTAGAGTATCTGTTCAAGAGCTCCTCTGTGCCTGGGGTGATGCATACTTGCTGAGTGGTATCACACAAGGGAAAGGACCCTCGTCTCTTCTGGTGGATAAGGGGTGGCCCAGGCGGGACCTCACATTATACCCAGCATTGTGGTTGTTCTTGACTCTGGATGGTGGAGATGAGACCAGGACCGTGGATTCCACAGTAAGCCTCCAACCTACACCTACAACACTTCTGCTCGACTCTTGTTTAATGGCATCCGTTGGTGCAGAACTTTATAGATCAGAGAGTGGATGTGATGGGGAGGTGGGAGTTTAGTGGCACTGGATGGGCTGCTATATAGATTCGAGTTTATCAGTGATAAAATATTTTTACAAAATATTCATTGAGCAGCTGCTTGGTGCCAGACATTCTGCGAGGTGCAGGGATACACACTGTATGTGTGAAAAGGATTTGTTTTGAACTTGACAAGAAATGTGAAACACAGCAAGGAGTCCTCATTTATACAGGGCAGGGCCGTTGGGTTGCATGTGAACAACCACAGCCCTTCTGCTATAAACTCTGTTTAACCAGTCACCTCACGATGCTATCCAGCCCTCAGTGCCGGGTTAATGAGCAGGTGATTGCTGGGTTGGGAGTGCTTCTTTGGGAGCTTCTGTCCTCTCTGATAGGGAGCAGCTGTACCCACCTCTACACATTCCTTTGTCTCCCATTCTAGAAGGAAGAGCAGGAGCCTCCTGCCATGTTGGAGACCACTACGAAGCGGCTCTGAGCAGGATTTGAAATTAACTCATTAGCTTTCTATGTTTATCTGTGAGTCTGTCCTAGGCCTAGGCCCCTTGCCTGGCGACAGGAGCTGAGTCATAGTAAGTGAACCTCTAT